TATATATATATATATATATATATATATATATATAATGTGCTGTACATTTACATTTGCATTGAACTGTCCACGTCAAAAAACTAGTTCCGTATAGTTCAGTGGTTAATTTGCACAGTTTACTCTGAGGAGAGTTTTGTTCATTCTACTCATGTTATTTTGTAATATTTTCAGAAAAAGAAGAAACTATATAGGGTTTACTATTGTTGGTTTGTTGGTGAAAACATTTCGTTTTTTTTTCCGGCTTGTTTTTTTGTAAATCAATACCAAAGAAAATTCGGGAAAGGCTAGCGATACTCCGGGTAGAATTGGTGAACCAGTTTTTTACAGTTGTTAGTGATGTTCATCAGCACTGAAGTTATCCAATTTCCTACTGCTTTTCACCAGTTGCTGGTGTTGCTTCCAACTCGCTCCTACAGTATTGCCTTTTTTGGAAGTCCAAGTTATGTTTATTCATCTTCATTTTCAGAAGTTTTGAGAAGCCGAATATTGTTTATTTCTAATTGCAGTATTGCCTTCCTTTTTTTAATTTCCGAATTATTACGATTTTGATGTTACTGATCGTGTGCTAGAATTCGTGACAAATAAGTAAGTTTTAAAATTAGAAGTTTTGGGGCTGTTAGAAAGACAGCGGTATCACTTCTTGCTTCTATAGTTTAGGGACTTTTCTTTCCTTTTAGAATTCGACTGCCGAGCAGCTTGACTGCCAAATGCAGGCTTTGATGGTTTAGCAAACATGGGTCTAGGGGGCAGTAAACGGAGCGATAATTCTGGCAGAGATCGAATTGCTGTCCAAAAAAAATGTAAAGTTACACCGCGTGCTGCTTGTCAGAATATTCTCAAGATTCCGAAGTTTTTGCCGGATTACTTCTTTGTTACTAAAACCATGAGGTTTGTGTTTGTTGTTAGAGATTACGCTGCATTTGTACTTATAAAAAGACCATTACTTTCTGACATAAAGGGAATGAGTAAAGTTAGTTGTGGAGAGCGATTGATGACATATTTTAGTTCGTTGTTCGTTGATGAAGATGGTGATGTGGCGCATGAATTTTATTACGAAACTTTTGATGAAAACAATTCGTCGCGACTTGTAAAGAAAGTAGACAATTTGAGGCCCTTGGTTAGCTTTCTTCGCATGTATTTTTTTCTTTTTCATTTGGCACTACCTAGCTCGGCATAGTATGCTACTGAATTATATAGTTAATAAGGTTCCAAGGAGAAAGGTGCTTTGGAAACAAACTCTGGTTGTTGGTGTTTTGCAGTTGGTCTCGGCTTGAAGTCTTTAGTTCTACTAACTATGAATTTTTGAAGAATTCAGTTTTCTCCAAATAACTGTATGTAATACTCTGGAATACTTCAGGGTCCGATTGAATACGCGATACCGCGTCTTCGTGCAGATTCGCCTTTTGTGATTTGGGAGGCAAGAAGCCGATAAACACAGTCTCGTTACAACTTATTTTACTTCATGATCTCTCCACGACTCTTTCTTCCTCTTTGATACTTATGCTCATTTTGAGCAGGATAAGCAGCAGCAGGTAGTGATGTACAAAAGGAAAGCCTTTGACGAAGAGCAATATGACACAGCTGTTTCATTTGAAAGTTAGTATTTATAACTGCAGTACTTATTAGTTAAATTATTTTCTGACTGGAGTGTGATAAAGCGGGTTACTTCTTTTTGTTATTTGTGTTACGTTTAATAATAGAAGACTTCATAGAATTTCGAGGGTCACATTCTGGATGCGGTTGCATTTCAACGTATTGTACGTATTAGTTCTTACATGAAGAGCTTCCTTAAATGAGGAACATGGAACAGATATTATAAAAATAGTATGTTAGCTGTTGGAGTGCAGAACAACAACCCAGTGTTCTGGCACTAGCAGCATAGGAAAACTATGGAACCTAGATGTCGTAATCTCGTTACAGGGTGGTTTTGAAATAAAAATAATTGATAATGAAAAATAAGTGGCTATCACTTAAGGCCACTAGATAGCTAATTCTGAAAATCAAAGGTTGGAATATGGATGACAGGAAAAATACAGTGACGGTCGGATATCAAACTAAGCAAAATATGATTCGCGAAGGAACGTGGGAACAAGAAATTTACAAGGGAACTGTGCGACTAGATCTGCAAAAACCAAATGTAAAAGGACCAAGCAATTACAGAGCGATGCTCTGTTGAAGGATGGTAACATGAATCGCACAGGAAAGAGTATCAGTCTTTAATCAAGGGTCTATCGCTTCTGTGACTCTTGTTTTCAATAAACAAGGGAATATTTAAAGTAGCACCTTTGCCCTTGGGATGAATACCCGAAGTGCGAGGACCAGAAGTATCGGTCACCGTGTCGTCCTAGACGTTGTCTCTGCAAGAAGCTAGCACTTTTGCATCAAATCGAGGGGCATAACAGGACAATTCTTCATTTGAAATTAGGAAGGACGTGTCAACAAGATGCTCCACAGCTAATGCGGTTGCAAGCTCATTATCAATGGACTGCAGAGGACGTATTTTAATCTTGCCATTCTTGAGTTCTTCATTGTTCCTTTTATAACGTTCTTCACACCTCTTCATTATATGTCCAACCTCTACCTAAAACCTGATACTTTAGAGTGTATAATATGAATTCACAGTAACGCAAAATTTATATAACTGAACATCTTCAAACTGTTCTTCAAAAGCTGCGTTCAAACAGGTGTTGTTCCGACCCTCTTGCAACACACTTTTTGTCGAATCATAGGAATAGAAAAACGACCTTTCTCTGCAATTACAGCATTAATTATTGTATCCATTACTGTGTCGTCTAAATACCTTTTCCTTGCCTGATCTTACCAGTTCTCATTTAAAAAATCCAGCTAAACTACTAAAAAAACAAACGCCTTGATTTTCGGAAACGGGTGTTTTCACCCTAATTGATTGAAATTATCCAAGAAGCTATCAAACTCGTGAAGACAAGAGCATAATCAAGACAAAAGCCCTAAGTTCACCACTGTTTAATAAAAATAGCTTACTTGCAAAGCGACAGGCAAACTAGTACAAGAGCAACCAGCAGGAACAGTAAAATAAGAATTAAAACAGCAGTCAGCACAGTATGTAACCAAAGTGGCAAAGGCATTAACAAAATATCTGAAAAGCGGTCATCAGCAAGGCGATATTCTCAACTCACCGATTCTTCACACTGCATCTAAACACACAGTTCACCAGCTAAATGTTGAGCACCTTTGAACCAAAATTTCTTATTTCCCCTCAGTGAATTGAAACTCCCTACGCTATGCAATGAAGTATTTCTAAGAAACCTGTCAAACATCACCTTACCGTTTCTAGTCCCTCTTTTTTGAGTAAAAGAAAGAAGAAAGTAAGTCTCTCAAGTAAAATGTTAACTGGTATGGCTCCTCTATTCCTCAATACGCAACTTCCATGTGGCAGTAAACCATAAAACACTCAACTCTTCCCCCTGAATATTTTAAACAAAATCTCATGACCGGATAACGAAAAAACAGAGAAATAAAAGTATAAAAGTCCAAGTACAAAAAAAAAAAACAATGCTGTTTTTAACAGGAGACACTGTAACAACACGAAACATTCTGAACAAGTTTATCCAGATTAAATAATGTAAAATCGCATTAGCCTAATCAACAACTAAACAACACAATTATGCAACTATTATTAATAATGTTAGTGTACAGATTCGTGGAACTTCCTCTTCCAAATTCAGCAATTTTATATAACAACTGGTGCTGCTCCTGATTGGTTTAATATATAAAAATTAATTTCCATACCTAGCAGATGCACATACTAAAGGCTCCAAAACAAGTAATGACAAAAGAACTGCAGCAATTAGTTTTAACAGGCTTGAACAAACAATTGCAAAATTAGTCGTTGCTGCCAGTATAACACTTACACCTTTTATGCAGTTTGTTGCTGATAACATCAGCAATAACAAATTTTGAGAATAACTTAATTAACATACAGCGGATGGCTTTATAATTAGTGTTGCTATTCAGAAGAAAAAGATCATAGGTGCCCTCTAAACTGAGCAGTTTTACAAAAGATGTGACAGGATGAACTGCAAGCTGAAATGTGGTGGAAACATCTCAAACAGAGATTCTCACACAAGATTTTTGGCTTGGAAGAAGTAAAATTTTTACAAGGGATAATGATAAACTTTGAAAATAATTGATGACTCTTAATACTATTATTATTATTATCATTCATCATTGAGATAAATTACAAAAAACTTATAGATAAGGAAAGCTATAACACTCAGCAACTACAACAAACAGCTGCAATCCTTATTGGGATTTCAGCTGAGAAACGAATGCGTTTCCGGAAAATGGAGGTATTCCTCCGATTAAACTGATTTTACGTCCTTCAGTGCTAAGAGTTCTTCCTACTATCAACGGCTGCGGCATCGCATAGCAACTGTCCAAATACATGTATGACACTTCTTCAACTAAGCATTTGTCAGGAACAACAGAAGCCATATCTAAAATCGTTACCCTTTACTTAATAATTAACAATTAATAAATAACTTACTCTTATCCTATAAAGAGAGAATCGCCTAATAAATTGAAAACAATTAACTAACTGTATATAGCAGCTGTCCTTGACTGGATACTCAATTCAGGATTAGCTAATAGTTCCTCACAAGTTAGGGTGAGATCACTCAAAAATTCTTCAACAACACCCTCTTTCGTATGGTTTTGCGTAACGCATATGTGCACTCTAAATAACAAATAACTATGCGTAATCTTATAGTCTTGGAACTAATATCAGGTTTTAAATGCCTTTACATACTGCTTATAACGTAGAAGCAGAAAGTTATAAAAATGAATACCCTGCAGGATTCTGAAGACTTGTCAGTGACCACCCTAGCTTATTCATGCGATCAGCTAACCCATAAATACTGAATTTTCTGCTGCAGAAGGCAATTATAGATGCGCTAGGTTCGCCTAGAATTGTAAGATGTGGTATCGCCTCAATTCCTGCCCGTATTTTATGGGTTGCTTCGACTATCGATCGGATACAGTCAGTGTAGCTGAAAAGCACAACATCATGCAGCCAAACTGCCGACAACTAACGCAGACTGAAAAATGTAGTATAAATACCCGTGTTGTCCGTAATATAGCAATGTTGCCCAAGTTAAAGCTATAGCACATCCGTCACGAGTACCCATCAAGGTAGGCGTTGCATATATTCCGCCAGGCCACTCACTATTGCAAAAATACTGCTTGTGTAATAAAGTCGCATCGCGATAAAGAATTAGAGAGGTACCTAGAAATAAAACAAAAATAACTAATTGTTAAGATAATTTACAAATGCCGAAGCATGCCTTGAAAGTAATGAAACGAACCTTTTGGAGTAAAACCATACTTGTGAGTGTCGCAAGAAATTGAAGTAACACCTGCAACTCGAAAGTCGAAAGGAGGAACAGGATAGTCACACCGCTCCATAAAAGGAAGCAGAAATCCTCCCAAACACGCATCAACATGAACTGGTATGCCATAGCGCTGTCCTAACTATGATGAACGGAAATAACTCTGAGTTTCACAAACAGATACTTTCCTTTATTTTTATGAGTAAAGTAGAAAATTATAAATACGCCTTTAAAAGCAAAAGTTGAGGCAGGACTTAAAAAATAGAATAAACTCGAGAAATATAAATAATAAGAACTTTTGCATACTTCTGCAATAGCTTCCACATTATCAACCGTTCCAGTTGTAAAATTTGGAGCTGAAGCAACAATCTGTAACTTATCAAAATTACAAATGCAAATATGATATACTGCAGCATATGAAAATTACGCTGTTTTCATTTCAAAACCATCCTTGTCCATGTAATTCTAATGCAAGAATTACCATGCAGGTTTCATTAGTTATTGCTCGTTTCATAGATCCTACATCAGCCCTCTGATTCTTATGGACAGGTATATGTCGAATACGAATCTGCAGCAACCGAGCGGCTTTATCAAACGCCGTATGTGCAGTTGCAGGAACAATCATTTCGGGGCGATAGATCCCCCTGTCATACGCTCGATTACGATAAGCTACAAGAGATACTTATTTCTACGCACCAAACAACACCACAAATCTACAGGAGAAGCCACTAGTGACCACTAGGAGAATAACAAAAAATGAAAGAGGTAAGAAAAACAAGACATGAGACAAATGCATTAAAGAAATCAAAACAAAAAGATACCTAAACAGGCCAGAATTATACTTTCCGTACCGCAATAAGTAACAGTACCACAAGAACCAGGGCCGCCATGAAGTAAGGAAGCAGTTATTCGTACAATTTCAGCTTCCATCTTACGACAACCAGGAAAGAGATCTGGATGCAAGTTATCCGCGTAAACAAATCTATCAAATATCTGTAAAAAGTTTATTATGATTTCATGCTCCAACAAAAATTATACTTCACACTTACAAAAACATGCAAAGCTGAGTTTCAGAAAAGTGGCACTTAATTCCCAATTTTTTTTGTCTGTTAATGGCATCCAGTAACTATCTCCTTTGCAAATCGAAGAGCATAAAGGTTTTCCTCATCAAATTTTGGCTTACGAATACCATAAAATTCAAGTCTTCTTAAAGAAACCTTTTCAAGTAATTTTCTATGCGTTTCGTTCCGCGCAGAATAAACGGCGCCAGAAACTCGACCATCATAAAACTTGAACTCGCTCATCCCGTCATACAGTTCAGCTTCTCGAATAATTTCTTCTGGTGACACTCCTCTTTCTGGCAAAAACTTGTAAAACTCCTGAAGGAAGAAAACTATGAGAAAATGAAGCGTGAAATGCATTAACTCTTTAGAATTGATATGCAAACTTTTTTTCTATCGTACTGATGCAAGTTCTCCTCCAGATCCTTCCTCGCTTTCTCCATTTCCTCTTCAATCTGAGCCTTCACATACGGTATACGACGAACTGCAGAGAAGATCTAAGAAGGAATCATACATTACTTGACTCCACTTTGCTGTATTACAAAATATAAACGCACAGCACCAATCCTGAAGACTAAAATAAAAAATCTACCGCGCAAGCCCAATGAAATTTCAAAAACTTACTGTTGCTCTAATACGCTCAGCAAGAGGCCTGTCCGTTTTAAGCTGCCTCCGGCACCATATAAATAAACATGCGATTGACAGTGTGTAAGACACAATCTGCCAAGCTTCTAGATGAACACACTGACGATTAAAAGCCACTCGAGCATCATCTACAGCCTGGGCAATTACCCTCAACGTTTGACCACCGCCGAAAGGCCACCACTCATCCATCCTAAACCTGCCAAACATAATTTACAATTAATTGAAAAAAATTTTTAACATATGAACAGTGAACATATTATCCAACAGCAGTGGAATAATTCTAAATATGTCAGGACCCGAAGCAGTCCTGTCAGAGAGTGTCATCAAATGTAAACTGATAAGCTAACTAGTGAATAGCAACCACTACACAAACACAAATTATCCGAAAAGTTGAATATGAGAAGTGATATAAACAGTGGTGTGTAATACCAAAAAATTGATTAACCATCAGGAAATCTACAGCAATAATAAAACGCTTTCTTTTCGGAGCACAACCTATATGATGGCAGAACCTTCACCCAGCACTTTGGAATAGACTCGGGCAAGTAACCATTAAAAAAAAAAAAAGTCGAAGTATTCAAAGGTTTATTAACAAGCAATTTACCCGACCATAATGTTCATTTGCAGCAATGGCTAACTTCAAGATCAAAAGCTCGGAATTAGGTAAACAACAAAGAATAATTAATTTAAACAGCAAGACCTCAAGAGCAAAATGCTTGTTGCACGTCAGTAGTAAAGATAAAAAAAGGAAAGAGACAGCGAGCGAAAAAAAAAACAGAGAAGCAAAGATAAAAACAACAAAAAAAAAGTTTACTTCATTGCTTTCAAGAGAGCGAAATGAGACAATTCTCAGAAGAACTCGGAAACGAAAAGGGGTATCAAAACCTCCTTATTTCAAACAATACAACAACTTCACATAAGGAGGAGCTGAGTATCCAAGATCCCGTGTAAACCTGAGCGAAAAATGATGGTGAGCTTCAAATAAAATGGGATATTATCAGCTGGCAAAATGTGATTGTAAAGCTTATGATGGCTTTTTGCGTAATGTATTAAATATTTCTAAATACTGAGTCATCGTGTCTAATGTTACGTAAGGTTCAGATTGAATTTTTTGCAAAACAGTTGGCTTTTTCTGCGACTGTTCAGGGAAGAAGTCTTCTATGAACTCTGAAAGCATATTAGAGCACTGAGTTGCTATGCAACTCGGGCCATAATCGACTTCAACGACCACACCTAGAAATAGAAATCATTTCAGTTTCACTTATTAAAATTCGAAATAGAGCAACAGCAATTTCACAGCGTTTAAAAGATACAGAAAAGATGATTACAAACCTTTTGACGTAACCCCCATCGTGGCTGGTCCAAATCGTACAAAAAAATCAACTAACTGAAATTCCTTTCCAGAAACTGTAAATTTGCCAGCGGTATCTTGCACCAAGCCAGAACTCAGTTTGGCAAGAATTAAATCAAAACCTCGATCGCAAACTGCTCTGGGGTAAACGTGCTTCTCATGAGGCGCTGAGAACAAAATTAAACCAAGTCAAAATAATTAGTAAAGTGTTGTATAAACCCATTTTAAATCAAGAATTCAAAAGCTCAAAACGAACCAGAACAATATGAATGTGGATTTGAAGAAAAAAATTAGAAAGTCAGTTTTTTATTCTTATTGTATGCCTTGAAGATCCAAGTAAAAATGGCTTAAATGAATCCGTTTGAAAAAACACCTATAACAAATGTAGACTGAGGGTAGTTGCTGTGGTGCAATATGAATAAACGGTTAATCACACCCTGCACCTTATCTTCAGGCTTGTACGGGGTCGAATCTACGGTAAAAACACCAACTTCCTTCGCACCCTGTGCCAATAAAGCTCTTTCAATGGCACTTGTACTTTTGTCGTATTCAAAAACCCTAAACTACTAAAATGTTATCCCCTGTGACTAAAAGAGAAGGTCCGCACTTGTTCGCATTTGCTCAGAAAGAAGTCAGCTAAAGGAACAAGATAGTGTAGTGAAAATCTTTTGAATTAACAATTCATAATAAAAATTTTGAAAGCAAGTCCAGCTTACCAGGAAACTCCCATCAACGTTGTTACATAAATATTCCTGCAGACAGCAGCAAAAATGGCTTAAAGTTCAGTAAAAACAGTCAAGACGCTACGACCTATAAAAATTTTCTACTGCATGGACAGTACAGCAATGCATAGAAAACTATAAAAGAAAAAAAAAAAAAACAAAAATCGGAGACGCTTAAAATTAAATTAAGGAAAATATTAACAAAAAAACACATATAACTTCCTCATACTCTCCCTATATATGTAGGAATTACAAGAAAAATAATTTTTCAAATTATTTTTGCTTATCTTTACGACTACCCAAAGAAAGTATTGATGGAATAATTTACATTAAAAATTTTCACTTCTTCGACAACTTGTTCTCGATAAAAGTTAAAAGCAATAACAGTCACTCCATATGATCCTATGCACGTGAAATAAAAAAGCGGTAAAACAAGTATTCGATGTTTTGACAAACAATCGATGCTATAGACGAAACCTCGTTGAAAAATCAGGAAAAAAAAAACAACAAATGATGCAGAACGGGAAAAAGTCTGTACTAGTGTGCTGGTACAGTTCCAACTTACCATTAATACGGGTCGGCGAAAAAAACTGATACACTAAACCGGTAAGACTACAAGGTAAGAATCTGATCAAGAAACCCGAATTAGCGCTACTTGTAAAACGTACAATGGTTCAACATCTAGCAAATTGCTAGAACCGTTGTCGAAGCGTGGTAAAAAGGCTGAACTCAGTTATACTGAGGATCGGATTTATGGCAAGTAACAGCTTAAAAACTTGGCTTCAGTCCAACTTGCACTGTCGAAGCCTTAAAATGTCAGCTGTGCAGGAAGCGCCATACCGTCTGCGCGCAGCCGGGTTGGCGTTTATTTTCGCGTCTCAGTTTTACAGGTGTTGAGACTTTGTTAATCAGTTATATGTGCGGGTAAAGTACCGATTTAAAGTCTATATCTGTATCATAAACTACTAAACTGTATAAGTGCACGTGAAGGAAATTTTTACTTCACTTGAATGATGCTGTTCAAAATTAACTCAATTGAGAAATGAAGGAGGGAAATAAAAGCTCCCAGAATCTTTGATTCAAAGGAACCACTAAATTAGGAGTGGTTGGGAAACGGAGGTCGAAGCGTTGCCTTTCGCACACATTATTTCTTTAATGTACACATGTGACTTTGAAATAATTTTTATTGGGAAAATTTAATGCTTAGAAGTAATGACAGTAAAAGAAATGTTTTTTGCTCCAATGGCAGCGTCGCGAGTCGTGCAACTATGTTGCATAGACTGGAAGATATAGTTTATTGATTCAATGCCACATCATATATAATTACTTAGAAGTAAATTATCCAATACGAAAAGATTTAAAAGAAGAAATGTCAAATTAAACAAACTAAAAATTTCAAAATTCTCTTGATGTTTAGCTGGGATACAAGCCTTTGAAGAGAGGCATTGCTAATCTGATAAATTTGCAACTTTTAAGGGGAGGGAGGTATAACTTGACGACGAATGCATTTTTTCAAACTCTCTCCGGTATTCAGCATGCTGGCCTAGACTCTACTACGCAGCAAAGTTTGAAAAAATTTCAATATGTTATTTGAAAGAAGTGTACAAATGAGCATGGAATAGCCTGCGTTCAGTTTTAAGATTTGGTATAAAAAAATACTACACATTTATGCTATAAAAAGCGATATAATTAATGCATCAGCACGACTTTTAACCTTCATCAGCCACACTTTATCTCCTCTCATTTTTTTCGAGATGCGACAGATAGTTTACCGGAACTCTTTCAATCTTACTTCTGCTTCCAAATATTATGCAAAAAATTACCTCCGCGTTGGAACTTGTACAAGCAGTAGCGAATCTTTTAAATTAATAACTTCTTTTCTTACTCCTGATAAAGTAACAGTAGTTCCCCATCCGATGAGCATGAATTGATATCGTCTTTTTTTCAACTCTCCTGTTTTTCCGTTTTTATTGCAAGAAGAATAGCTGAATTAGCTTCCCTTCCCTGAAACTCGTTTACTGTACATATGAGTGCATCTGGTCTCTAAAAAGAAACGTATGTTTAGATATTTGTTAGTATAACGGAATCACAACAAAAGCTGATTTTGTTTTTCCTGTAATAGACAACCAAGCCTCTATTGTGGCATCATTGTAAGCCCGGCTGATTTGACGGCAAAAGCTATCTGGACCAAAGAACATATATTAAGAAAGTATATATGTTTGAATTGCTCGAAGCTAGGGAGGGGATAGCAATCAAAAGAATATTTAGGAGTTTAGACGTACAAGGATTACCGAGACAGATGTGCAACCCGCGTGAGAAGATAGAGGTTGGCGATCTATTTATGTTAAAGCAACCAGCGGTGAGACTTATTTACTTCTGTGAAAAAAAACAGTAGGTAGACAAGATATTTATTAGCTAGTGCTTTTAAGCATTTCAGAAGGGAGCAAGTTAAGGAGCTTACCCATTTCATTTATAAAACATTATTATGATAAAAAGGGCTGGGAAACGGGCCGAGATGTGAAAAAGAAACAGCAATACAAAGAACCATCTCAATGAAAAACTTTTTTATTGTTTTGTGTAGAATCTGTGATGCTTCTTGCGGCCGTATTGAACCGATGGAGACAGTTTGGTTGTGAAGTATTTTTTCACTGGTTAAAAAGGTCTAATTGCAGAAGTGCAACTTGTGGCATTACTATTTCTGATACCGTCAATAAGTCAATTTTATGAAACAGGCAAAAAATTTGAATTATAAGCTTACGCTGGCAATTCCTCTTAAAACACTCAGTGATTGTAAAATCAAATTCAAATCGAAAAACAACGGTATGACATCCAGAACTAATAGTAGCTCTGTCACGTTGCTCTTGCGAAAGTTGAGTGATAGCCAAGATGGAAGAAATTCAGTGCGCAATATAGAAAGATTAATACTTTTTGGTACTTTTTAATAAAACTTTTATCTAATTTTCGGAAATACAAGACAGTATGAAAAGCCGAATCAGTCGACCTTTCAGTGATGCCGCAATAGAGGCTTAGTTGCCTATTACCGAAAAAAACAAAGTCAGCTTCTGTTGTGATTCTTTTATACTAACAACTACCTAAACAAACGTTTCTTATCAGAGACCAGAAGCACTCATTTGTACAGTAAACGAGTTTTAAGGACGGGAGGCTGATATAGCTCTTCTTCTCGCAATAAAAACGGAAAAACAGGAAAGTTGGAAAAAAGACGATATCAATTCATGCTCGTCGAATGGTGAACTACCGTTACTTTATCAGGAGCGAGAAAAGAAGTCATTAATATTTGCGACTGCTTGTACAAGTTCCAACGCGGAGGTAATTTTTTGCATAATATTTGGAAGCAGAAGTAAGATTAAAAGAGTTCCGGTAAACTATCTGTCGCAGCTCAAAGGAAATGAGAGGAGATAAAATGTGGCTGATTAACGTTAAAAGTCGTCTGATCCATTAATTATTATAACATAAATGTGTAGTATTTTTTATACCAGATCTTGAAACTCAATGCAGGTCTATGATATTCCCATATTCTTTCATTAGAAATCTTGAAATTTTTCCATACTTTGCTAGACAGTAAAGTTTAGGTCAGCGTACAGAATGTCCAGGAGAGAATCTAAAAAGATGCATCCGTCGTCAAGTGACATCCCCCTCAAAGTCACAATTTTACTAGGTTGCTGTTTAACATACCTGTTTTCAAAGGCTTGTATTTCTGATAAACCTCAAGAGAATTTTTGGTTTATTGGAGTTCTTATTGTACAATTTGATTTTTCTGACTAGTTGTTCAGATACAATAAAGACAAAAATTCAAACAGATATATTTTAAAAAATGCGCTTTTCAATTTTTAAAAAGAACATTTTGTACTAAATTTTTTGCTCTATAAAATACCACAGGTTGGTGGTGGCGACTGTTTGAATTCGCGAGTTACGGGTCGGAAAGTACTTTGAGACTTAAAATTAAAGTGTTTTTGCAGTAACCTCACGACTTTACAGTCACGAGACCGTTTTCAACTGCTTCTGGAAGCCGCGAAAAGTGGCTAGAAAAACTAAGTACTCTTTAACTGCTGATGATTTGTTTAAAAAGTTGTATTTTACTCTAAAATATTAACAATTTTTTACTTTGTAGAAGTGTAGGAAATAGCCTTTATTTTAGTCTTTTCTGCTTCTCAGTTTCTTTTCCTCAAATTTGCAGTTCTAATACGTATTTTGGCATCATTAAGCAGTCTAAAAACTCGTTACTTCAACTGTTTAATTGCTGGGTTTAGCTTTTTCTGAACTTGTTATAGCCTCTCGGGTTTAGAGGATTACAACACATGAGCTTAAACAAGGAAGGATGAATAGAGCCTATATCTGCTTGTTCATCTGGAAGTTTAAGAAGTAGACTAGAAATACGGTTAAAGGGGCTAAACACTCTTTTTTATAGATAAAATTCAAAAAGCTTACAACTCTAAGAAAACCTCCCCCTCCTCCCCCCTCAAGTTAAGTGCGTTTCTTGCTCACAAAACTGACTATCTTATAAAGTTTACTCTATATAAAATACAGCTGGTGTTTCGGTTTTATAAACTAGATGTGTTTCACTGGCATTCTTAGTTGACCGTATTATATAGAAAGCGAAAAAGATTGAAATGAAGGCTACTTTTTATATTCCTGCAGAATAATAAATTGATGTCGTATAAAGTAAAATATAACTTTTGCAGTTATAATTAGTCACTTTTCGTGGCTTTCAAAAGCAGATGAAAACGGTTTTGCCACTGTAAGATGCACGAGATCACTGTAAAAACAATGTGTTTTTAAGTTTTGAAGTATTTTTTTCTTGATTCCGTAAAATCGTCATTTTTTAATTTGTGAAATGTTACAGAGGAAAAAGTTCAGAAACAAAAAAATATTCTGAAAAAGGTACAGAAAAGAGAAAGTGCTTATAATAGAAAGTGTTAATGGGAAGTGCCAATAAAACAAACAAGAGTAGAGGTGATCAACAAAGTAATTTTGATCTTTCGGCGGTACC